CAACATCATAAAGCTTTTTTAGCTCTTGATTCTTTGTAGCTTTAAATAAATCTGCCCAACACACCGCAGAGTGTGACTTTATCCTGCTCCACACAATTCCTTTTGGGTTCTAACTATACCCTGTTCTCACTTCTGTAGGATTTAGTTTTGGTCCAACCCTCAGCAGGTGCAGCTGGTTTTAGTTCGTCACCACTGGACAGTGATCCAGGGAACACATCCTGTGATTAAACTGTTACCCTGTTAATGATCCCTGTAAAATTAATTAAGTTCATGAGTTTAAATTCATTTCCGAGCAGTTGGGATGAATGAAGCAGATCCTTTTGCTTTGCAATCAAGAGCAAAGCTTGCATTCACTTCAGGGTGGCCCAGACAGGATTCTCTGCCCTTAAAACTGATAACTGATGCATTTTCCAGGCTAACTAGTATTGAACCAACCCTCTGGAGTGGAAGGTCGTGTAGAACTGCCTTATGGGATCACTTTTCAGGAAAAAACGGGTGCTTTTAATAACTTTTAGTTAGTAGGATTTACCTATTACCCAATTCAAAATTAGGATGACTTCCAGAAGACAACTGCAGTTAAGGAGTATCCCCCAACTGTATTTTCATAGCAGGTATTCTTCCAGGCTGGACTGAATCTCTGCAGAGTTGGGAGTTGTGTCCATACTTGCTTTATCCCATTTGGAGTGTGGGAGATGGTGTCAGCAAAGAATGGACCAAAGTGTAAAGCCCTGGTGACTCTTCAGAGCTGTGGAGAAATTTTTTGTGACCTTTACCTTTTAGATACATTTTATGCAGATGACTTTGACCACACAGTATTTCCCATTTTCATAAATGTATCTAATGTCCTTCTCTCCAAGAAGTACAAGAGAGTGAGAGGTACGACTCAGAAAGGGCAGATAATGTGGGAAGAGCCACATATCAGCTCACCTTCAGCACCGAAGTGACCACAAGTCCAGTTGCCCTGGATCCTTTTGCAGGTTAGTGAGGGCACGTTGTTGCTTACAGACAGCTTTTGGGAATTACCAGTGTGTGTTCAATCCCTACAGATTGAACTGAGTTTTTAAGACTACTGAGGTTCTGGTCATACAGGACTTCAGCACATCCACAGTCAGCCCTCAGCAAGAGATGTGCAAAAACTCAGAGCTGGACAGTGAGAGGAAGGGTTGTGCAAGATGCTGTAATGAATGTGGCAGGGATTTTCTTTTCTTGAGGCTGTTAGATGCAAGTAGGATCCTATAGTTCTTTGTAGACTGGAATTTGTAAGAAACTCTAAGCATAATCATGTTCCTGTTGAAAATCTGGTTTAAATATAAATTTTCCATGCACAACTTTTTTTTTTTTCAGTAGGAATATTCTAAGCAAAACTTTTTGTTCTGAATGAGAAAGGAAAGCTTTCATTTCATTGTATTGGGAATATGCTTGAAGAAAAGAGTCTTTAAATTCATGGTGTTTCAGCCTGGCTAAATATGACTTGTGCTACTGAGGGGTTCCACACCAGAGCTTCTCAAACCCTGTGCTGGATTAGGCAGCTGGGAGAGCACTGTTGCCTCAAGGATTGCCTGTTAACTCAGCACCTTTGGACCCATTTGATCCTGACAGTAAAATAAGAGGAACATTTGCTTCTATCCATCTGGTTCATCCAGCTTCAGCCAGCACAAGTCTGGTGTTTATGGCCAAATAATTGAGGCAATATTGCCAAATAGTTAGGAAAAATGGGATATACCGCAGTGAATATCACCTCTGTTTCTGTTTAACGTCTGCCCTTCATCTCATGAAATTTAGGAGTTACTGTGAAATATAAAATTTTCTCATAGTTGAGGCTTTCTTTGTAGGTGTAGTGATTTGGTCTTTACCATAGAGTCTTCCTGGATACAGTTTCCCCACGTTAGGAGTCATGCTATCCTTTTCTGAGGGGGATACTCTGAGGAGAATTTCTGAGAGATTTCCCATGAAGTTAATATAAATCTATATAATATATATCTATCTATGCCATTGGCTTCAACAGTGACAAACCATGAATGAACTGCTCTTTGTGTGTGCACAGAGCTCCTCAGGATATGCAAATTGAGCATCTGTCTTTAATTATTAGAGCACCTCATCAGGGAAGGGGCAGGGATTTGAGTTCAGCACATCCAGGTGCTTCTGAAGCTTGTGGTGGCATTAATCCATTATTACAGGCATCTCAAAGAAATTCCTTTTTCTTGAGCTGTTATCTTAGAGACCAGAGTCTTTTCTGCTGTATAACACTTTCTCTTAGATATTGAGGATTTTTATAAAGCCATATTGTTCCATTAAAAGCCTACTTTTTGAGTGGCAGCAAGAGTGAAATAAGGAGCTTAAATCCCAGATAAGTGCAAACGCTTTGACTGTGTTTCCAACAAGCATTTTGAGTTCCTTGTTGTGGCCATGAAAATAAAAACCTACCAACATAATGTATTGGTTGAGTTTTAGCTCAGATTTGAGGTTGGTTTTCATTTCACAACCTTCCACTTACAGATCTGCCAGTCAGTTCATTTGGGAAGAGTTGTCCTTCCCAGTTTGTTTTCCATGCTGTGTTAAAAATTCAACCAGAAATCATCTATTTGTCCTTCTCCTGCAAGCACTTTGCACTTATAAATCTACACAATGTGTTAAGTCCAGCCATGTCCTGCAAGAGAGCTGCGTTCTGCTGGAATTCTGTGGATTGGCAGGGGCTGGTCTGTCCCATCCACACCATTTCAGTGGCCCGTGTGTGGTGTTCCACAGGGGGAGCTCTCTGGGAAAACTGGCCCTGTTTAAAACATGCTCTTTGGAGCGTTTTTCAGGGTGTGGCATTAGTTCAGAGCTCCGATTTAATTAGAAAAAGACACACTCAGTTCTGATGATAATTTGTTATGATTTGGTATTTCCCATATTTGGGAAAACTTGATTCATTATTGTTTCACTCTTTATGTCTAAATTTTTCCTAAAGTGATGAAGTGCTTTTTTTGTCAAATACCCTGTCTTTATTTTTCCTTTTTTTGAGGGGTTTGAACTGATTTGGGGAAAATGTTTATTTTTTCCCAGTATTTTCTTCAGCCTAGAATTTATTTATTCACCCAGTTTTTGTCAAAGGTCCTAATTAGATTTCTGTGTCTGGCTTTTAAATCCTTGGAAATTGGAATTTCTTATATCAACATTGTTATTGCTGTAGTAACAGGTCATGTGCTTTTCTGTTTTCACAGAATCACTGAATTGTGATTGCCTGATCTATTCTTAAACTGTTAATAAAAAAAAGGGGGTGAGGTGTCAAAGCTGTTTTCAGAGTAGCTCTGCAGTATCTATAAGGATATAAATAGTTAACTTTATATCTTTTTTTTCCCCCAAAAAAGATGTTAATTAATTCTCAAGAGCAAAAAACACCCCTTTATAACCAGTGGGATGTGAATGAACATCACCTGTGCTCTGGTTGTAAAAACACGGTCACTCCAGTAGAACAGGATGAAATGAAACATGATGCATTTAAAATATACATTTCTGTCCTAGATGAGAAAATGAGAGTTCAGGGAGTCCCTGGAATCATCCGATCTGCTCAGTGTCACATTAAAGGGTGTTGGTTCTTGTTGTAAACCCCCAAAACATGGAATGTGAGCCCCAGATAATTTTCCATCTGTGTGGAAGGGCTCTTCCTGTTCTTATTTGGCTTTACTATGTGTATAGTACCAGTGTCCAGAAGCCTTAGCTTTGATTTGTATATAGTAAATAAAAATAGCTTCTGTTTTTCTGTTCAAAGCCAGGTTGGATGGGGCTCTGAGCAGCCTGGACTGATGGAAGGTGTCCCAGCCCATGGCAGGGGGTTGGAACAAGATGAGCTTTAAGGCCCCTTCCAAACCAAACCATTCTGTGGTTCATACTTCAATCCTTAGGTAGTTCACTTGGATGAAAGGGAAGGTTTCCTTTTACTCAAAAAAAATTTTTTGTAGAGAGGAATTTTATTTGGATTTTTACTTATGCAAAACTGCCAGAAAAAGTCAAATGCTTCAGTAAAATTGACTTTGCTTTGAAGATACACGTTCAAATTGTAACATCCTGGTAAAGAGAATATGTCTGTGAGAGCTCACCTTGGCTAAAAATGAGTCACGAACAAGCTGCTTGTAAAACATCAAAGGCAATCCAGCTCTGAACAGGGTTTCTCTTTGAGAACAGTTGTGAAGTTCTGTTTCCCTGAGATGCATCTGAGATGTCTTGCACTTGATGGCACAGTGGTATTCCCAAGCCTACATGTAGCTGCAATTTTCAGTGTTATTTAGCATTTTTAATACATCTTAGTTTATTGACTTCTCAAGTGCAGCTTAATACTGATCTTCTGAGATGACTCTTACTGTTCAGACAGAAAAGAGTCTTAGTAATACTAAATCTTCAAGAACGTTTTTCTTATTTTGGGGAGGAGTGAGAGAATGGGAATATCAATAATTTTTGGAGAAGACTGTTCTGTGTTTTAAGACAGACTTTTCTGCAAGTGTTCTTGTCTTTTGTGTATATTCTGCTCCTGCAGTGCAGCCTCAGCTTATCAAGAATCAGACTTGAACATGTAACCTGGTTACCAGTGCATACATGATCTCCTGTAATTTGTAATTTGGTTTGAAAATAAGAAATACAAAGTTTTTCTAAGAACATACAGTGTGCAAAGCAGTTATTTAGCCTGGGATAGCAGCAATCTGAGCTGCCTGCTAAAGAGCTGCTGTGTTCATGCTCTGCTGTCCTCTAGGCAAATGCATGGCCTGTTATTTGACTGATTTATGCAATGAAGTGGCCAGACCAGGAGTTGTTTCAGCAGAGAAGAATCTTAAACACAAGGTCCTTTTAAGGTCCTCAAGATGTACACTCCAAACAGTAACCAGTTTTTTTAATGTTAGCATTATGGTCGGGGTTTTTGGACCAGTGAAGAAGAGATCCTTTTGCAGAAACTTGTTTCTAGTCACAGGTTTAAACCCAAATGTGTTCACCTGCCTGATTCTGTGCCCATATTGTCTCTTTTCCAGGTCCCTCTGTACAGTCGTGTGCAAGTGGACGTACACGTCAGACAGGGGTTGGGATGACAGCTTCTGGAAAATGATTGGTTTGGAAGATTTGGTGAAGGATAAGTATGAAAAAATAGGTATATCAGGGTGTTGTTTCATACCTATGTATATTCATACTAATAAAAAGCTATATATATATAAATATATAAGATATAAATATATATATATGGATGGGGCTTGGAGCAACCTGGTCTGGTGGAAGGTGTCCCTGCCTATGGCAAGTTGTTGGCATGAGATGACCTTTAAGGTCCCTTCCAACCCAAACCATTCTGGAATTGTATGAATAAAAGATATATAGATATCAAAAGATGTTTTGCTGTATAATTGTGAATGTCAGCAGAAATGTATCCGGACTTGATGTACTTCAGATGGGCTGCTGAGAAGGCTGGATGCCCATAGGGAACAGGTTTCCTAAGTACATTTTTTACTTTGCATTGTCATGAGAAACTGTGTTTAAATTTTTTATCTTCTACCCTTTGGAAAGGCCTAAAAAGCCTTTTTTCTACTGTTCAGTCTCAATGATCTAGAAGTAAATAGGAGCCCCAGCAATCAATTCCATGAAGGAAACACTCCAGTGTGGGTATACTGGATGGCAGGCTACAAAAAAAAAAGCCATAATATCATAATTTATAGCTGTTACTGATAGCATGATTTGCGACCTGTAACCAATCTCCCTTATAGCAATTTTCAAAAAAAGTGCTACTTCTGCTTGTTGTTATCTTCATACATTTTTTTTCACTCTCTGAGCCCAAGTTTAATTAGAATGGTAGCCTTGCTAATAGCAATTCCTACAGCAGATATTCATTTAAAGTCCATAACGTTAATACACCAAAAAATTTCCAGGATAACTTTATTAGACTTTCCCTGTTAAGTTAATGGACTTTTAATGGATGTCCTAAGCAGACATGTCATTAACAAGAATATTACCAGACATGAATTAAAATATGCTCATTCATCAAAGTTAATTATCTGAAATTTCCTTTGATTTTTTTTTTTAATGTCTGGCACTTTGAACAAGTTTGTACAGCAGTTTAAATGCAGCAACATGAAATGGAAATGGTGGAGGAAGGACTGTAGTGAAATGAAATGTAATGGAATCTATAAAGTTTTCTGATCATCACATAATAAGCTATAAGTCATTTTCAGGTTATCAGAAAATTATGCTTGAAAGCTTCCTTGAATAGATTTCATCTTTTCCCCTGCCACTGAAACTGCTTATGCAGAGATATAAAACCTATGAGGGGAATGAAGCTTTTTAGCTTCCTGAGGTTTGGGTTTGAATACAGTTCTTACAACATCTATCACATGTGGCTTTTAGCAAGTCTTCAACAAGTTAAATTAAGACTTGCAATAAATACATGTTTTTACCAGAAAATTGAACATCTTGCCAGCTGGTGGTCTCATGGAAGAGTATTTTAAAAATAAATTATTTATGAAGTGTAAGCTAAGGCTTTAATACAATATTTATGCAATGCACTTCAAGGACAGTGCAAAGCAATTTACCATTTTAAGTAACAACATGCATGTTTTAAATGATAAAGTAGCCATTAATAAAAAGGGCCTTTTGCTGTGATGGAAGCCTCATAACACTGATCTATATAAAGCTCAACATTCAGCAAGAGAAAAATCATTAATTTCCAATATCAGGCTACCCTGTTCATTAAAACACGGTGTTTACAAAATAAATCAGTAAGTTAACTTCTGTTGATAGGTGTTTCTTGCAAGATGTAAATGTTTTTGTGAGTTAATGGTGAAAGGGTTTAGTTCCTTGGAAAATTGTGTTGATTTTCAAGAAATAACCACACTATCCCTGGATGAGTTTTGGCTGGAATTGGAGAAGCACAATCTGAACTCCAAACCATAGGGCAGAACTTGAAGTTCCTGCAGAGCAAACACTTGTGCTCACCTTGAGAAATCCTTCAGTTTTCACATTCTGGGGCTGATTCCCTCAGGTGTATCCAAAGCATAGGACAGTTTCTGTTTTGCATAATAATGTTGAAACCCAGCCTTAGGGAGAATATGTGCTCGTTTCCCTGACCATTTGTCTAACCTTGCCTTTTTTACAAAGGAAGATGTTGCATTCATTATGTTTAGCTGTGTGATAAAATCACAAAATAGCAGGAGAGTGTCCTTCATTCCTGTGTCTGTGAAGAGGGAGTGAAGAGCTCCCTGCACCAATGTGGGAACCAGTTAGCAACCACTTCATTCCTTTATCTCCTACACTGCACCTGCTGGAGTCTCTTGGAAGGGTTTGGCTTTAGAAGGAAAACAAAGCACCTCACTCCCTACCCAGAAGCTGCTCCACAGTGTTGTGTGCTATGGATGGGCTTTGCTTTCTGCCACCCAATATCTTACCAGTGTCCCTGAACATGGGGAAATGGGAATGGTGACTTTGTTCCAATGAACGTTTGGGGAATTTGATTTGTTTTGATGAGTGTTCAGTGTTAGACTTGGGAAGAGCACTCTGAATCAGCTCAGCTTTTCTCTACTGAATTTAAATCAATCAGAACAGTGTAGATCCACCTACTAGGGAAGTGATATCAAGCACTGGCCAAACTGCAGCTGGAATGGTCTTGGTTGGTGGAAGATTCCTTCCTACAGATTCCACAGCGTTGACATTGGTGGTGAGGCACCATCCCTGCACAGACCTCCTGCCAGGAGCCCTCAAGTGCCACAGGACCACACCTTGCACAAACTCAACTCAAGGTGTGTTTATAATATTGCTCCAGGGTTCTGCCCCATAAGGGAATGGGCTCAGCTGCTGGAACTGCAGCCTGTCACCCAAAAGGAGGGAATTTGTGTGAGTACCTCATATGGACAGTGTGTGCTTCCAGGAGGCACATCAGAACTCACTCCAGCTGACAGGGAGGAATTTGAAGCAGTGGATTTAGCTGGGTTGTGGATTAAGGAACTCAAACTTGTCAGATAACCCAGGTAGGAGTAGGTTGAAGGGAGATTGTACATGCTCAAACCCTCCTCCTAAAATGAAAACAAAACCAAAAACCTGACAGGTCTGAAGTCATTCTAGTGGAATTTCCTTTTCTGTTCTCAAGCTTGTCTAAGTCCGTGTCTGTCTGCTCAAGGTTTGTTTAGCTCAAATACAAGGATATATTTTAGTGCCTGCACGTTCCCCTTGCAAAGAGAGATAATGGCATTTTTCTCATGTATCTCTCCTAAAAGATTAGCAGGCTTTTAATCATCATTTCTTTCTAACCAAAGCAAAATGTCCCAAGATAAAATTAGCAAAAATTTCTTACTGTAACAAAAGTAAATACAGAGTTTACCAGTTTAAAAGAGGCAGAAAAGACTTTTTTTTTTTACTCTCTAATGAAATCATTATTATTGTTTCCAATCAGAGGGAACTATAGATGAATAGTTACAACTAGACTTGTTTTTTGGAAGTAGCTTTAACTTTCATGCCATTGGAAATACTCATGGATGTTACCTGAGAACAACTTCTTTAGTGGACATATTTCTTTATTCTGATAAATACACTTTTAAACATCAGTTTTTAAACTTCTTTCCCTTTGAAAATATATTTACTGTAATCAAAGTGGTGCTTGTGGTTCCAGGGAGTATACTCCTCCTGGTTTCAGTTTCACTTAACATATGACCTTGTTGATAAGGGAGAGCCTCACATCTGACCTTTAGGATCTTCCACAAACCTTTCCCACATCAAGGCGTGGGTTCACATCTGAAAATTCCCAGGCCTTTGACTTTTTATGTTTCTCAGAGCAGACCAACCTTTCAGGGAATCCACATAAGTTGTTTGTGGTCCCTTCTGTACATTGTGAATTTACTGATTAAGTTTGTGAAGGTAAAGTGTCTTATCTGGACATACTACAAAATTTATTGATCCCGTTAATTTGCCCAACAAGAGTAGAAGATGACTTTTGTTCAAAACCACTCTGAAAGTGTTGTGTACTACAGGCATTAGCATTTATCTGCTGTGGTGGAAGCACATGATGAGTATCTCTTTGTGGTATTATAAAACCTAGAAAGACATTAACAATTCCGTTAAAATTTCATGTCCTATAGACCTCTTTGGGTATTGGAGCGTACATTCCATTTGGAGGAAAATGCCTGATAAATTTTCACCACAGCCTTCTACTTCAGGGGCTACTTAAGGGACCAAATAATGATTTTTTTTATGGAATGGTAATATTTTATACCATGTCTTTTTTGGGTCGAAGATGTCGAGCATTGCAGGTACTGCAGAATAGGTGTTACTGAGCTGGTTGGGATTTACTTTACAGCCCCAGCACTTTGCAACTGTAACTCTTCCCTTAATTCCAGGAATTTGGGGACTGCAGGCTTGATGTTTTCATGTTCCTGGACACTTTTGAATGTCCTGAAAAGAAGGATCTATATAACTCAGAGACTAGACATTCTTTTCTAATGCTCTTTCATTTGTAGTACTTATTAATAAATTGATAATACAGAAAACATGTTATTTATAGGAATAGTTATATTCCTGCATGTCCCAGTGTCTCCTTCCATATACAAAGCTAATAATGGTACTGTATATCTCACTTTTTACACTTAAATAGAGTCTGCTTAGCTTTTGTGTTTTGTCAGAAGTGGTTGGTTTTAGTACTTGAAAGTTCTGTTCATTTGTTTGCATTTAGGCTGAAAATGGGAGATTGAATCCGGGGTGGGAGAATTAAATAAGTATTAACTTAATGCTGCAGCAGCTGTGAAGGGAATGGTCAATCCATTTGTTCTGCCAGTTTTCTATCTCTTCCAAGGCCTTTGATGCCAGATGCTCTGGAGTATATGAGGGATTTCCTTGAAGGCTGAGAGAAAAGGATGATGATATTTTTCTTCAGGTCAGATTGTAGCTACCAGTTCTTCATAAACCTGGATTGCAGCAAGAAGCTTTAAAATACTCTGCAAATAGTAGAGAATAATAGGTAAAGGGGTTCTCTTAAGTATGAGATACCTTTATCTGTCTTTCTTTGGTCTTTTGCTCTCCCCAGTAAATTACAACACATGACAATTTCATACAAAATTGAAAGGATGAATCAGAGGATATTTACACTTATGTGCTGTCAAAATCCATGGAATTTACAAGTGA